TCTAAGGTTCTGAAAGATTCTGTATCTTACCCAAGTCATGAGCTAGTTAAGTTAGTGATACAGCCAAGACCTAAATCAAGTTTCCTAATTCTAGGTTTTTCTTTGTTTTCTTTTCTTTTTTTTTTTTTTGAGACAGAGTCTCGCTCTGTCACCCAGGCTGGAGTGCAGTGGCGTGATCTTGGCTCACTGCAACCTCTGCCTCCCGGGTTCAAGCGATTCTCCTGCCTCAGCTTCTGGAGTAGCTGGGACTACAGGCATTCGCTACCACACCCAGCTGATTTTTGTATTTTTTAGTAGAGACAGGGTTTTACCATGTTGGCCAGGCTGGTCTCCAACTCCTGACCTCAAGTGATTAGCCCGATTCAGCCTCCCAAAGTGCTGGGATTACAGGCATGAGCCACCATGCCCAGCCTTCTAGCTTTATTACACTGTTCAATACAAGTTGTTTAAAGTTTTTAAAACTGTTTTTTAGACTACTTGTAAGTTACATTCTTGCAAGGTCTCATTAAAGACTTCAAAAGACAGGGCCGGGCGCAGTGGCTCATGCCTGTAATCCCAGCACTTCGGGAGGCCGAGGCGGGTGGATCACGAGTTCAAGAGATCGAGACCATCCTGGTCAACATGGTGAAACCCCGTCTCTACTAAAAATACAAAAACTAGCTGGGCATGGTGGCGTGCGCCTGTACTCCCAGCTACTTGGGAGGCTGAGGCAGAAGAATCGCTTGAACTCAGGAGGCGGAGGTTGCGGTGAGCCGAGATAGCGCCATTGTGCTCCAGCCTGGGTAACAAGAGTGAAACTCCATCTCAAAAACAAAACAAACAAACAAACAAACAAACAAACAAACAAAACTTCAAAAGACCCTACACAGAGTATGATTGTCTCTCTCCCCTCATGTATAATTTAAATATAAAATAATCACAAAGTTTCTATGTATGCTGATATTAAAACAGCTCAATTCTATATTTTAAAAACTTCTAATTATTTTTAGGGACAGGGTCTTGCTATGTTGCGCAGACTGGACCTTCAACTCCCAGACTCAAGTGGTCCTCTAACCTCAGCTGCCCAAGTAGCTGGGACTACAGGCATACACCACCATACCTTGTTTATTATTATTTATTTCTACCTAAAATTTCTAGATCAGCTTTATTCAAGCTGAAAGTCTTATTATTTTGGAACCCTAGTTTGATTTGTACTCTAAACGCAAGCTGAGATAATAAAACACTGCTCTTAGCTCTTCGCACCATCTTGGATCTTGCAGAGGCCTGCTGGAAACAGGACTTCTTAAAGGAAGTATATCTGGAAGGCTGTGGTCCAAGGTCATTTTTGCTGGCTGTAAGTGGGGTCTCCGGGAAAAAGGGGAGCACACAGCTTTTCTTAAAATTGAAGGTCTTTATGCCCCAGATGAAACTGAATTCTATTTGGGCAAGAGATGTGCTCATGTATAAAAAGCAAAGAACACAGTGACTCCTGGTAGCAAACCAAACAAAACCAGAGTAATCTGGGAAAAGCTAACTCAGGCCCATGGAAACAGTGGTGTGGTTTGTGCCAAATTCCAAAGCAATCTTCCTGCTAACACTACTGGACACAGAATCTGAGAGACATTGTACCCGTCAAGGATTTAAACTAATGAAAACTCAGTAAAAGTGGATCTGTGCTCTTGTAAAATAAATCAATGAAAAAAAAAAATACTGCTCTTAAAATCTAGAATTCATATTGTTTCTTGATTTACAGCTAGAAGAGATTTCTAAAGACTGCCTCATTTCTGTCTCTTCTAAGTTCTCTTTGCAAATGCCTGTGTAATGTGTAATACATTCATTTGACTCTAACCTTGAGCAAGTTATTTGACCCTTCCTGAGTTTGAGCTCAGCGTAGAAAATATTTACTGATATCAAGTGCCAAGCATGGTACATGGTTTGCTCATGGTTGCCGACGATTAAATGAGAATTTACATAATGCTCTTTGATACATAGCAAAGCCACAACAAATATTAATTTCATTCATGGGTGTTATTTCATCATTGAAAGTTTTTGATTCAATAATACATTCCCATTTTTTTCACTGCCTGAAAACTTAAATGTTATTAAGTTCAGAACAGTTCTGAAGATAGGGCAGTGAGAACTGCATGAAAGAAAACATAAAATAGAGATAAGATTTCCTGTTCAGCACATGTAAAACAGTATGAAGAAAACTCTGAAGTCAGAAAAAATTTTCAAAATAATTTTTTGGAGGCTAGGCGCAGTGGCTCACACCTATAACCTTAGCATTTTGTGAGGCCAAAGCAGGTGGATCACCTGAGGGCAGGAATTCGAGACCAGCCTGGCCAACATGGCGGAAACCCCATCTCTACTAAAAATACAAAAATTAGCCAGGAGTGGTACCTGTATTCCCAGCTACTCGGGAGGCTGAGGCAGAACCGCTTGAACGCCGGAGGTGGAGGCTGCAGTGAGCCGAGATCACACCACTGCACTCCAGTATGTGCAACAGAGTGAGACTCCATTTCAAAAAATAATATTTTTTGGAGTCAGACACATTAGGGTAGGTATATAACAATTTACTAATATGGTAAAGTACTTCCCTAAAAATAAAATAGTAGCCGAGCATGGTGGCTCATGCCTGTAACCACAGTACTTTGGGAGGTCAAGGCCAGCAGAACACGTGAGCCCAGGAGTTGGAGACCAGCCTGGGCAACGTGATGAAGCCCCATCGCTATAAAAAATCCAAGAATTAGCCAAGTGTGGTGGTGTATGCCTATGGTCCCAGCTACTTAGGAGACTGTGGCGGGAGAATCACTTGAGCCCAGGAGGTACGAGGTTGCAGTGGGCTGAGATTGCACCACTGCACTCCAGCCTGGTGAACAAAAAACAAGACTCTATCTCAAAATAAATAAACAAAACAGCACCAATAGACTCAAGGACTCACATTTTATATACCTATATTTTCTTCTTTCTTCTTAGGGATCCCTGTATTCTAAGAGACACACATTATATGAACCAAACACTTTTTCCCCCTCTAAAAATCTCACATTTAAGTTTGTCCAGAGAAATAGAGATGTTCTTTAAAAATTTTTTTTTTTTTTTTTGAGACGGAGTTTCGCTCTTGTTACCCAGGCTGGAGTGCAATGGCACGATCTCGGCTCACCGCAACCTCCGCCTCCTGGGTTCAGGCAATTCTCTTGCTTCAACCTCCTGAGTAGCTGGGATTACAGGCACGCGCTACCATGCCCAGCTAATTTTTGTATTTTTAGTAGAGACGGGGTTTCACCATGTTGACCAGGATGGTCTCCATCTCTTGACCTCGTGATCCAACTGCCTCAGCCTCCCAAAGTGCTGGGATTACAGGCTTGAGCCACCGCGCCCGGCAACCATTTTTAAAATCTAGTTCCTTCTAAAATGTTGGTCATGGTCATAATCCAATTCAACTGTAACACTGTAAATCTCTGTAACTTCAACGAAAGGTATAATGCACTCATGAAAACATGAGGAAATTTATTTATTTATTTTTTTGAGAGGGAGTTTCGTTCTTGTTACCCAGGCTGGAGTGCAATGGTGCAATCTCAGCTCACCGCAACCTTCGCCTCCTGGGTTCAGGCAATTCTCCTGCCTCAGCCTCCTGAGTAGCTGGGATTACAGGCACACACCACCATGCCCAGCTAATTTTTTTGTATTTTTAGTAGAGACGGGGTTTCACCATGTTGACCAGGATAGTCTCGATCTCTTGACCTCGTGATCCACCCGCCTCGGCCTCCCAAAGTGCTGGGATTACAGGCATGAGCCACCGTGCCCAGCCCAACATGAGGAAATTTATAAGTGCTTTCAGTTAATACAGGGGCACTGATAATAATGATGAGATCTGTATAAAGACGGTTTGGAGAAACTATCATGTTAATGCACAAACAACCAGAAAAGAAGAGACATGCATAAAACTTTTCTTACCTGCTGAAAATTTTCGTTTCCCCAGTCTCTCAGTAAGACTCAATCTAACCAAGGGTTCTTCTCCTGCAATGGCAAAAGCACAATTTCTCGATTCTTAAATCAATTTTTCTGTATTCAGTAACCACTTATATATACAAAGTATGTTCTGATATTAGCATGAACCCACCCAGAAAGTCTCTTGAAAATCAGGTCTCAGTCTTAAGAAAGGCCATCACATAAAAAAAAGAGAAAAACCCCAAAATCTATTAATAATAAACAGCCAAATATACAGCCCAAATAGAAGCAATAGCATAGTACTACTACTACTACTACTACTACTACTACTACTACTACCACCACTACTAATTATTATTATTATTATTTTATTATTATTTTGAGATGGAGTTTCGCTCTTGTTGCCCAGGCTGGAGAGCAATGGCACGATCTCGGCTCACTGCAACTTCCACCTCCCAGGTTCAAGTGATTCTCTTGCCTCAGCCTCCTGAGTAGCTGGATTACAGGCATGCATCACCATGCCCAGCTAATTTTGTATTTTTAGTAGAGACGCAGCTTCTTCACGTTGGTCAGTCTTGTCTGAAACTCCCGACGTCCGGTGATCTGCCTGCCCTGGCCTCTGCCTCCCAAAGTGCTGGAATTACAGGCGTGAGCCACCATTCCAGCCTAATTATTATTATTATTATTTATTTATTTATTTTTTTTTTTGAGACAGAGTCTCACTCTGTCACCCAGGCTGGAGTGGAGTGGCTCCATCTGAGCTCAATGCAACCTCTACCTCCTGGGTTCAAGCAATTCTCCTGTTTGAGCCTCCCAGGTAGCTGGGATTACAGGTGCACAGTACCACACTTGGCTAATTTTTTTTTTCTGAATTGTACAAAGTACGATTATCTTTTGACACATGATCTAAGACACAGTCATGTACCACATTAAAATGTTTCAGTCAATATATAGCCTACAAACAGTGGTCCTATGAGATAAGAGCTGAAAATTAATGATTATTTTAATGTTATTATTTCTAATATTGAAAAGTCAACATTTTTCTCCTATATATTTTACTCATAAGCATAGCAAAATGTTACAGGTCTCACTGTCACCACTGTAATATGCATACTGTGCTGGAAGCATAACCTGTCTCAGTTAAGCCGCATTAACTATTTTTGGATACTATTATCAACATTGCCCATTCTCATCTAGAATGAGGCTTTTTTTTGAGATGGAGTCTTGTACTGTCACCGAGGCCAGAGTGCAGCGGTGCGATCTCAGCTCCCTGCAACCTCCGCCTCCTGGGTTCAAACAATTCCGCTGCCTCAGCCTCCTGAGTAGCTGGGATTACAGATGCACACCACCACGCCTGGCTAATTTTTCTATTTTTGGTAGAGATGGGGCTTCACCATATTGGCCAGGCTGGTCTTGAACTCCTGGCCTCAAGCAATCCACCCGCCTCGGTCTCCCAAAGTGCTGGGATTATACATATGAGCCATTGCACCCAGCCTAGCATAGTACTAATTATTAATAGCAGTCAAGTAGAAGACAGATTGTATTCTTAACTAATTGGTTATAAAACTGAAACAATAATTTTGCTTATATACTTTAATGTGTTAAATGAAATCATACTCTACTCCAATGCTAACTCTCCAATATAACTTTCTTTAAAGGTCACCTCAGGAAGAAGTGAGCTCTCTTTCTTCTAACTTTGTTGTCTGAATTGCACATTTAAATGTATCTGCTATAATTCCTTATTAGGCTTAAAATTATCAAGTGAAAATCATTTATTACAGGCCAGGTGTGGTGGCTAACATCTGTAATACTAGCACTTTGGGAGGCTGAGGCAGGAGGATCGTTTGAGGTCAGCAGTTCAAGACCAAAATAGCCAACATGGTGAAACCCTGTCTCTATCAAAAATACAAAAATTAGCTAGGTGTGGTGGCGGGTGTCTGTAATCCCAGTTACTGGGGAGGTTGAAGCAGGAGAATCACTTGAACCCAGGAGGTGGAGGTTGCAGTGAGAGGGGATCATGCCACTGCATTCCAGCCTGGGAGACAGAGCAAGATTCCATCTAAAAAAAAAAAATTTTTTTTTAACAAAAAAACTTTATAATAGTTCTTTAGTCACATGGGAAGCCAATAAATGTATTGAGTGGATATAAACAGTAAATGGAAAAATAAATGTGAGGGCTGCTTGGGAAAGAATTTCAATCTTTTAAACATTAGAGCTGAATGTACCAACCTTTCATCTTTATACCTTATCAACATACTAACAACTTCCTGAAAATTCATCAAAGGTAAAAGATAACCCAGAAATTTTGCATTCCCCATTGTATAAAAGTAGAGGCTTGACAATTCTAAGACCTACCTATACCTTACCTTGTTTGCTGGAGAGAGTTACTGTCCTCACCACAGTCCTAACATTTTCCTTTTCAGGACCTGGAATGGGCTCAGGGTGGAGTAAAAGACTGGAAACTCCTGAAGAACCCTCTAAATAAAGCAAGTCAAGAAAAGCAAATAATTTATGAAAAATAATGCTACTGAAGTCAAAAAATTTGTTTTTGTAACCAGTGAAGTCCAATACAGACTGCTATTATGACTATATGCCAAAGAGCCTTTCTGTATCTATTTGTCTACAGTCAAACAGAGTAGTGGTGAGGGGAGCCTTGGGCATGATGTGAAAACATAATATAAAATTATTTTGAGTGACTTAGGTACCCAACCTGCTTTTGATTACCAATAAAGCTAATATTATCCTAAAATTAACTTTGGAGGTACATTAGCCATCAGGTATATCAATCCAACCTATTCTATTTAAATTTAATCATCTGAAAAACATAACTCCAAGATTCCTATAAAGCAAGCCTTAAAACAAAGTTCTTAGAACCATTTCTCTCTACATATACTATACTTTACATTATAAATTTTAGGATTGGAAGCTGGCTCACACCTGTAATCCCAGCACTTTGGGAGGCCAAAGTGGGAGAATCATCTGAGGTCGGGAGTCCAGACCAGCCTGACCAACACGGAGAAAGTCTCTACTAAAAATACAAAATGTGGGGTATGCCTGTAATCTCAGCTACTTGGGAAGCTGAGGCAGGAGAATCGCTAGAACCTGGGAGGTGGAGGTTTTGGTGAGCCAAGATGGCACACCATTGCACTCCAGCCTGGACAACAAGAGCAAAACTCCCAACTCAAAAAAAAAAAAAAATTAAAGTTGGAAACACAGATCAATCAGGCTGAGGTAAGCTCCAAAAGAAAATCCTAGCAGCTCTTAAGGAAGAATTCTTCTACTAGAAAATGAAGTTTTTCCTCTCTTAATATAATTTTAATCACTGTAAGAACTCACAGAATAAATATAGTTCTTTTTCTTTTTTATTTATTTTATTTATTTATTTTTTAAAGATGGGGTTTCAACATGATGGCTAGGCTGGTCTTGAACTCCTGACCTCAGGTGATCCACCCACCTCAGCCTCCCAAAGTGCTGGATTACAGGCGTGAGCCACCACGCCCGGCTATGAATATAGTTCTTATATGATGCTCTCTAGAGCTATATTGTTCAAGATATACAGGTTCTTTCATTCTTTATGTACCCAGCTCTGAAGAGTTAGGGACTGAAACACAGCTGCAGTGAATTAAAAACAACCACAATTTAAATAAGTCTGTGTTTTACTTCAAACAGGCCATGGAAATCAACATTTATTTGTTCATTTTGGCTGCTGCTTCTAGAGGTGTCTTTAGTATTCTTCCCTAGCAACATACAACTATTCATGCCAAAACCTGTGATGACTTACCACCTTGCTTCTTAGATTTTTCCTTCATTTTCTTTGACTTAATTTCCTCAAGAGTTTTTATTCCAAAATTCAAACATTCACCTGAAAAATCCAAATAGAAATTATATGAGAACTAGAGCCCTTTCATCTTTGTATTTTATCTGTATGTAGCAGGCATTTATTTTTTTAATAAATGATCAACAGAAACTAAGTATAGGTATGTATGTGTGTAGCATGGGAAAAAGAAGAGGGAGGTGAATGACTGTGAACTAAAATTTAAAGGCAGTTTTTAAAGTTTGGACACATTCAAAAGTGCTTAAGATTTGGCACCAATATAGCCTTTTCTTACCTTGCTTTAAATTGACTGCAGGTTTCCGGGCAGAAGTCACTCGTAATCCATTGTGAACTTCAGGAGTCGGTTGCAGGGTAGGTGTTTTGGTTTCATCACCTTCCTCAGAAAACTGATCTATGTGTCAACATTTAAGGCAAATTCACAATTAAAAATAAGCCTACAGCTTTAATCTTGATTCTGTCCAATTCACAATGAGACCCTATTTATTTGCCTTAAAGAAGGAGTCGGACAAAACTTACCATCATCATCTTCATCATCATCTGCAGCATTAATCACAACTGGTGGATGCGTGGGGCTAGGAACATTTTCCGAACTTTCCACTTTCATAACGCTCCGCAGCTGAGGGGAAGGATTGGACTGGACAGACAATTTGTTCTGCTGAACTGAAAGTTGGTTAGCCTTCACTTCCTCTTCTGGTGACTCAGGCACAGTGGGCAACACAGCTAAACACACAAAATCAGTCGTAAATTAAAAACAGAAGATACAACCCCAATTTACCAAGAATTTCTGACTACCTATGAAAAGTATCGTGCATTTTCCCTATGAGCATGTATGTCTTTTTTTTTTTTTTTTTTTTTTTTTTTTAAAGAGACAGGGTTTCACCATGTTGTTCAGGCTGGTCTCAAACTCCTGATCTCAGGTGATCCACCCGCCTCTGCTTCCCACAGTGCTGGGATTACAGGCATGAGCCACTGAGCCTGGCCGCATTTCTGTCTTTTAACCTAATTTCCTCATTTAAGTTCTAAAGTCCCAGGGAGGGAAAAAAAAAATGTGCATTTAGTTTATTAACTCTCCACTGTAGATAAACACAAAGTGGGCACTCAAAACATAATAATCAGAAGACTAGAAACATAGTACCTGTTCACAAATTTTAACCTTTGATTTTAATAGTGTAATTCTAGGCTTTTTGCTCAGCAAAGAAGTAGCTTCTAAGACAAAGCACTCACACTTATTTGAACCAAACCAGAAAGAAATATGTCTACCTTTTTCCCTTAAACCGAGGCAAAAAGATGTAGCCATCAAATTTTAATCATACAGCAAATGGGACTTTTATATGGCTAATTCTACTTTAAATTACTTTAAAAGGGACTTTGGGAATAACTACTAGCTTTCTAGTTTTATTTTAGATTACAATCTACAGAGTAGGGTTGGCAAATATTTTCTGTAAAGAGCCAGACAATTAATATTTTAGGCTTTGTGGGCCATATGGCTTCTGTCTCAACTACTCAGTTCTACAGCACTAGTACAGAACTGGTAACAGAAAATATGTAAATGAATGGGCAAGGCTGCATTCCAACAAAACTTTATTTTACAAAATAGGCAGAGGACCAGTTTTGCCAATCTTTGGCCTAGAAAATCAAATTTATTTTGAAAATGTTTATGGGTCTGATAAGAACATGACAAATGAAGTAAGCATAGGAACTTAAATGGCATGCCAAGATATACTGGTTCTACAATCATGGATAAATCATTTAGCCTTAATAAGATTCAGTTCACTCATCTGTAAAGTGGAAATAATTCTGCTGTCTCACAAGACTGAAAGAAGCCAATGTCTAAAAAGTACTGTTGTACAGTGTGCATAATAAGCATCTATTTGATAGTGTTCTTTTAAAATTAAAAACTGATCTCACTTTTGCTCGGAGGTAGGAAAAGGCCATCAACATATCGTCCTCTATTGTGATGAAAAGCGCAGTTTAATTTTTGACATCCCGTTGGCTGATTTTCCCAATAACAAGGAATTTCACTGCGTTTTTTCTGTAAGAGGGAAAAACACATGACTTTCAAATAAAAAACTGATACATGTATTAATGTGGTAATTTGTTTTCTTTTTTTATATATATATAAAATATGGAATGCTTCATGAATTTTCGTGTCATCCTCGCGCAGGGGCCATGCTAATCTTCTCTGTATCGTTCAAATTTTAGTGTATGTGCTGCCGAAGCGAGCACAGGTAATTTGTTTTCTAAACAAAGTTCATACAGGGTTCAAAAATCCAAGGCATGTGAGATGATTTTTAGAAGGAAGAGAGGTTGCTGAAAATAACATAACTTGAGGCATGATGGAGAGATGAAAGGAGCAGGAGAGTAGTTTGTA